TGTGGGCAAAATTAAATTATTTAAATAAGACAGAAAATCCAGCAGCTGTATATTAAAAATATTTTTTTTAATTCGAACATATTGCAACAATTAGCTCGAATTACGGAGATTGCATTGTAATTATTATATTACCGATTGCTAAAACTTTCAAAAAGAAACTATAGAGGAGTACTCGTGTAATTTTGCATGATTGAATATTGAACTACTTATAACTAAAGTCATGATTGGCGTAATTTATCTATCTTTGCTAACTACGCGTACAAAACTAAAATTTAATAAAAAATAATGTACTTACTTTTCTCCAGCACTCTCAAACAAAATAACACTGACTCACTATAATTGGTCTGATATACTACCTGTTTATATTTTTTTAAATATTTTCTTAGCACTTTCCTTTTCAAGATTCAGGAAACGAATAAACGTATTTGTCCCACATTTGTATTTATAGAGTAACGAATTGAACAAGTCAGTGCGAGGTAGCGAAGCTCTGAGACTGCGACTCTCAGGTTTTTACAAGTTCAAAATGTATTGCGACCACAAAGCGAATACCAACATCCTACAACTTACATAATTTTATAAACATATTTGATAAATTTTTTACTTCATAGGTACTTTTATAAAAAATGTATATATTTTGATATTATAAGATAGTATGATGTAAGTAAATAGGTACTATCAGTGTATGTGTTGAGATCCACTATCGTGGACCCCCATATTCATTTCATGGACCCCCAATTTTTTATTCGCTGACGTAGACCCCTTGCAGGTTGTCATAGACCCCTAGGGGTCGATATAGACCACTTTGGGAATCAATGGTCTAGCCCATCCAATTGACCAAAAAAATATCGTTGCAACATATGTCTGTAGCGATCTCCGTTGACTGTAGCGTGCCGGTCATTTTCATCAACGAAAAAAAAAACGGACCAATGACACCACCGGCATGAAAACAACACTGTAGAGTTATTTTTTGTGTCTGAAGTGGTGTTTCTTGTAGCACATGAGGGTTTTCACCTGACCAATAATGCATATTCTGTTTGATGGCAAAGCCGTTTAGCCAAAAATGCGTCTCATCACTGAAGATGATTTTGCGATGAATTTGGGCATTTTCTTGCATTTCTAGAGCTGAATTCGAGAACGTATGTCGGTTCATATGATCGTACGACTTTAGTTCTTGAGTTAACTTGATATTATGAGAGTGCAGGCCAAGATCTTTTCGCAAAATTATTATTATTAATAATAATAATAACAATAATAATAATAATAATAATAATAATAATAATAATAATAATAAGCGGCTTTATTGGCGGAGTTTAGCACAGCATTCTTACACTCAACCTTTCTAAAGACTAAAGCTTAATGATAATTTGACATACAAATATGATGTTTTACATATAAAGTAAACGATTATATGTCTATGAATATAACTAATACCCTGTGATCAATTTCGATAATGGTAATTGATCACAGGGCATTTATTCATTGATCCTATGCTGAATTCCTAGAAGATGTTGTCTGAGATGCAGTTATTAGAGATGTTGTCTGAGATGCAGTTATTAGTATTTGATATGATTTGAAAATTCGCCATAGTGTAGTCTGGGCGATGTCCAATTCTTGAGAACGCCGTGGAATCGACGTGTTCTCTTCGTTTGCGACAGAAGCTTGAACGGCGCAATATTCTCGGCACTTCGACCAGCCCGTTGTCTCATTGGCACGGGACCATCCAGCAGCGAATATGTGGACTCATTCTTTTTTACTAGACTATGAATTGCTTGTCTACTGGGACGAGAATTACGACCAAAAATTGGCGTTAACGCTCTTAAAGTTGCTGTCACCGACTGGGAATTTCGGTAGTAAATTTTAATTATTTGTTAGCGTTGTTCGTTCGTGTACTTCACCACGATGAAAATGTTTTTCTTTACTAAATGTTTTGACATTGACAGATTGATAATTGATTTAAAGGTGCGTTCACAGTGAAAGTTCAAAGTTACCAAGTCCCTATTGGAAAACCTCAGAAATATTTTTAAAGTAAAAATAATGGTTCGAAATTCAAGGATTGCGACTGGGCCTTATTCTTAAGCTCCTCTTAACTACTTTATAACCTTAAAATATAAAGGCATTATCCTTCAAAATGGCGGACTAGCAGGCTGTTAAAGTTGAGCGGGTCAGTACATTGAATCGCATAATCCAACAGCTAACCATTGTATATTGTATTAATCTTCTTCTTATGGAGAAGCTTATCTGAATTCTGTACAAAAAATATATTACATATTCGGATAGACCCCTTCAAGATAGGAAGATTGATATATGTACCTTATTTTAAGGATTGGTTGTTGAGTTATAATCAACTCAATGTACGAAAACGCTCAACTTTGGCAAATCGTCAGATTGCCACTTTTAAGCTAGTGATTTCATATTCTAGGACTATGAAGGACTTATAAGGAGCTGCTAAGTGGGAGAATGTTTTCAACAGCCACTTTCACGCTAACACATAGTATTCAAGCATGAACTTCACTCTCCGAACTTCAGTTTACTGACTTGATCCGTTCAAGGGACACCTTGGAAAGTACTGTATGACTTATATATATGACGTGGTAGATTAATATATAACTCGTCTGTATTTGGAGCTGATTTCAGTTATGAAAAACTATCAGGGGCTATTTAAATGGAAAGGCGTCAGTCCAAACTGGAGAATGTTGTGAATTTTTTAGTTATTTTTATTAACGGCCTTCCTTCATTCAATTCAAGAGCTGTACGTTGTGCAAAGGAGGTCTTAACCAGAACATAATGATTGCCTTTCTTGTTATGGCTCAGCATGCAGATTGGTATCAGCTAAGCATCCTAAGCAACTGTAGGTCGAATGAGCTAATGGAATCATAGTCCAGTACACAAGGTACTCTGACATTTGAAACTTTCTCTCTCAGAAACAACTACGTTTGAAGTAAACAGAGATGATATGGGGTGAAACAGCAGCGAAAAATTAAAAAAAAAATAAGAAGTACTCACCGCTCGTTTCATAAAAAAATGCAAGTACTTCTATGACACACATTGCTTATAAATAATATGCGGAGTTGCCCCAATTCTATTTAATAATATAAGTGTGTTAACTTCTTCCTCTATTCGTGATATTCTGGTGTATGTGGGTCTTCCAATGTATTCGCGACGTTCCTGTACACGGATTTTGTAAGAGATAAACCTATCTACGCGGCTCGGGATAAAAACATCCAGGTTAACGATGAAATGCACTCTTCCTTACCGCTATAGGAATGCGTCATTATCAGCTCTTCAATTATTTAATTTTAAATCTCTCATGGAGTTTTAATTTAAAAATGTGATATGAGATGCTTACTGTTGTAACGGTTCTGATGATAAATGAAGGGCTAGTTGATTGATTCATAAACAAACAGCTCGGCATATCTACATTGTGTGCAATACCTGGATTGAATACTGACCACAGTCATATATTTTAGCCTTTGATTAGGTTAGACGATGCTCATCTTATTCAAAAAAGATAGCGAAAGAAACGCTTTGAAAGAAAAGCTGCGAATAAGACTAAACATGCAGATCAGTAGAAGCAGACACCCGCAGAATTGTAGCCCGAGTGACTTACTAGCAACGCGGTGGTGCTAGAGCTGCGATGCTCTCCGTTGGAAGTTTGATTGCGCAACTTTGCACTTTGTTAACTCGGTAGAATGAAGTGCACTGTTTCGGAATTATAATGGTTAAAGTTGAAATTAGAGGGTCGGCGATAGAGGAGCAAAGTGCCTTATAAAACGCACATAATACGGATGTTTTGCTAAAAGCCAGAAACACAAGCGACGCCATTTTAGTCCAGAGTCCGGGCGTCAGCTATGCTTGAATGGGATTTCCATAAGGCCGTCAAAAATCCGTAGGACACCGCATACAATATTTCTCATGGTACTTCATTACGTCAAACGTGACAGTGCATAACAGCTGACTAACTAATAATATTCAAAATTGTCCATATCGTCAAGTAACGTACAATTTGACGCATTTGTTAACGCCTGAACTGTAGTCAGATCGTATTTTTGTGTTTTTCTAAGAATGCTTTTATGTGGAATTCTTACGCATAAAATAAAAAGAATACAAGCCATGTGGATACTAATAATCATGATTGTGTTTCAAATCTAGTAAAAATGGAACAAAATAATTGATTATTCTCTATTTTTTAAAACTAGAATGAGACCTAAAAAAGCATGAATTTGGAAGTTAGCGAAACTAAAAGCAGAGTCTGGCTTTTTGAAAATAAAGATCGGCTGATTCAGCTGAAATGTTCTCATCTGGCTGGAAAAAGGATGATCCTTTTTTAGGAAATCAAGCATTGTGCTTGATAATTACAATAAAGGTATATAACACAGAAGCTAGACTCTAGAATCTAGAATGTAGAGTCTATAATCTAGCATCTATAATCTAGAATCTAGAATCTAGAATCTAGAATCTAGAATCTAGAATCTAGAATCTAGAATCTAGAATCTAGAATCTGGAATCTAGAATCTAGAATCTAGAATCTAGAATCTAGAATCTAGAATCTAGAAGGGTAATTCTAGGACAGATGGCCCATCAGGTGAGTTGGCCCACCGTCAATATCTCCACAAATGTATGAAAGACCGATACTTTGGCAACACCGGCAGCCATTTAGTATTGCGTCATATGCTGTGTCAGCCGCAGTTAGTAATTGAACGTTTTATTACAGTAAAATTACAATAGAAGTGGTGGTTATATGTACGATTTTTTTTTGACAATGTATTAAAATTGCGTGAGAGGTACGTATTGTTATTTTTTGCAAACAATTACAAATTCATCGGGTAGTATAAGGCCTGGCGGCATTCCTAACCTAAAATTAAATTGTTATTCGCATGTATAACTTAACGCCGAAGTGAGCCATCTATCCTTGTAACATTAGGTGAGTTGGCTCACTGCTAAGAGAGGAGAGATGGCTCAATTACTTAACATGATTTTAATAGTTATGAACTCTTTTGCAGTTAAAATGCCTACCGAATATAAACGCAAAGGTAGTGTTTGTCGAGGGAAATGGTCAGAACAAGATTTACAACAAGCTATAGAGGCTGTACAAGAAGGTAGAGTAGGTGTTCGAGAAGCCGTTCGTTCCTTTGGTGTGCCAAACACAACACTTCGACGACGCTTGAGAAGTGGCAATCATAGAAAGCTTCCGTTGGGACCAGTATCTACTTTAGGACAAGAAAACGAAATTAAATTGGTCAATCATATTAAAAAACTACAAAAGTTTGGATTTTCGCCATCACGAACAACTGTACGCTCTATGGCATTTGAATTAGCCCAGAAATTAAATCTCCCACATAAATTCAATATTGAAAGACGTTGTGACATCTTATTTTAACCTATTGGAAAACACTCTGATAGAATATAATTTAATTAACAAACCAGCAATAATCTACAATGTAGATGAGACAGGTCTACAAATGAACAACAAACCAGGCTTTGTTATTGCGCAGAGAGGTTCAAAAAACATATCGGCAGTGACATCAGCAGAAAAAGGTGAAACAATCTCCCTAATAACATCTTGCAATGCGGAGGGGTCATTTATACCACCAACGTGCATCTTTAAGGGTAAGAATCAGAAACCAGAGTTTGCCGATGGTATGCCACCAGGCACCTTAGTGTTCATGTCTGAGAAATCAGCTTATGTCAATAATGTTTTATTTTTGAGGTGGCTTAAAGAACAGTTTGTCCCAAGGAAACCTCCGGGATATGTTATGTTAATCCTCGATGGACACTCATCGCATTGCAGCAGCGTAGAGACACTAGAAGATGCTTCTGAAAATGAAATAATTCTTGTGTGTCTACCTAGTCACACAACTCAATTTCTTCAGCCTCTAGACAGAGGAGTTTTTAAGTCACTAAAGGCGTTTTATTATGAAGAATGTAATGCTTTCATTAGAAGAAATCCCAATCGACCCATTAACAGATTGATTTTTGGACAATTACTCGCTGCACCTTGGGAGAAATCAGCAACTGTTAAAAATGCGGTTTCATCTTTCAGAGCTACAGGAATTGTGCCTTTCAATCCGTCTGCGATTCCAGATTATGCTTATCTTACTGACAAACCTCAGGGAGCTTCACCTAATGAACCTGAATCTCAAGTTTTACCGAATGGATCTGTTGACAATAGAAATGAATCTGCTCAGGATTCATCTATTATTGAAATATCGGAATTGGTAGTGAATGATTCAGCTGGACTATCTGATATGAAGACACCTGAGAAAGAAATAGATACCCCTGGAAAAATACTGGACAAAATTAACCCGATTCCTATCACTGAAGCAGTCTCTTCTGCGAGGAAGAGAGGTGGACAGTTGGCTTCTGTCTTGACTAGCAGCGATAATATTAGAAATAAGAAAAAGAAACTAGAAGAAAAATTACAAGCTGAGGCAAAGAAACGGAAAAAGAAAGAAAACAAGAAATGCATTAAACCAGGCCCTAGCCGCGTTCAAAGTAAGTCTAAAAAACGGAAGCAATCTACATCTTCTTCTTCTGAAGAAGAAATAATATATGATGATTCCTCGGAATACGAAGATGAAACAAGTAAATGCGGTGGATGCGGAGATTTTTATTCCACCACCACAGAAATGGATGACTGGATTCAGTGTGTGACGTGTTCCAGATGGGTACATGAAGGGTGCACCAGATTTGACAATTTTTGTGATGCATGTGGAAAGTCGCAGCAATAATGAACTACTATAATTACTAGTTTTTGAATCGAGCCATCTCACCGAATACTATGGGCCAACTCACCCATATATTAAAGGAGAGATGGCTCAGTCTGATATTTTATTTTTTTCTTTTCTTTGAGAATAAAATTTAAGTTTGATTATTTTTTCTGTTGTAATAATATTCTTCATATAAGCCTGGTTTAACCTAAGTTATTAAATGATTTTTCTGGGGTATAATAAAGATGTTATGTTGATTTGTAAAAAGGTGGGCCATCTGTCCTAGAATTACCCAATATAGAATCTGGAATCTGGAATCTGGCATCTGGTATCTGGTATCTGATATCTGGTACCCGGTACCTGGTAACTGGTATCTGGTATCTGGAATCTGGAGTATGGAAGCTGGAATCTGGAATCTAGAATGTAGAATCTATAGTAGTACCTAGAATCTAGAATCAAGGATCTAGGACGCCGATGAAAGAGGTTACGTTTAATCTGCAGTCGTTTGATGCTCTACCTAGTCCGATTGCAAACAAGCTTCAGATGAATGTAACCGGTTGGTCGAACGGTCAAAAGCGTTCGTTGAAAATTTGAATGCAGAGATCGGCGCTCTGACGGAAATGCCCATCTATCTGATGCCTCCTGAACTAAAATGTCCTCTGAGCTTGAGCCGGTGACATTTCTGTCGCCCGAGAATAAATGAGCCGATTTGATGGAGAAGTTTTAATTAAGCGATGGCGGCCGCCCCAGGAATCTCACCGCCCAAGGCGGATGCCCAATTATACTTACGACTGTCTGAGAACTTTTGTCGTTGTCTTGTTCCGAGCTGTTGCACAACAAAGGTGCTTCAAAGATATGCCAACACAGCTCTAGAATTTGCTTTGTTTGGGACATAACACGGAAACTCGCCATTGACCTCAGCGATAAATTGTACCAATCATATAGGAGAGTGGTCTCAGGGACATTGCAGATGGGAGGAGCTGTGACAGACATGTTGCTTGATAGGTCTTTCTTTGCGCTCCGCAATTACGCGGGCGTTCCACAGGGAACTCTTCTGTCCCCAACGTTGTTGCCGCTTGACATTAGTAACCTCCTTGCTAGAACCAGACGTTCGACCTATGGAAAATCATAAAAAGGTAGATGACAGCGATTTTACTACCCACGACACTAGCGAGGGAGAATTGCCAGCGCGAAAATCAGGCACTACGATGGGGTGGATGTAATGTAACATCTAGAGCACGAAAGGCTGTCACTCATTTTCCTTGGCCTGTCATTTACTTGGAAACTACCGCTTGAACTTTGAGCAAGTAACACAGTATTACCACTATGCCAAGGACGGAAAAGCTTTGTAATTTTTGAAAATCGTCCCAGAGGCGTCGGAGCTAAGGGCAAAAAACGAAAATAAATCTTTGTCCTTCGTTTTTTGACATTTCAGAATCTCATGCTCAATTTCAGAAAAAAAAGGTGTGGTTTGAAAATTGGGAGTAAGATCCTACAGCTATACACATATACTTTTCCGCCTTGGAATACATTTTCATTCTATTTTATGATTTAGAAAAGTTATGAAACATATATTTATCATAGAATAAATGTACACACCTTATTTTGAATTATAATCTGATGGCAAAAAATTTCATTTTATTAGGTTGCCATGGCACATAATATACACCAGCATACGTCAAGTAGTTTTCTGCATACACCGACAACAGTGTTATGAATCACGATGCCGTGTACTGACAGGTCATTATAACTTCACCTGATACAGGAAAGTTTCAATTTACAGGATGATCCAGTGTTCCCCTGCAAATTATGTCTCTGTCCGTTATCGACTTTTCTATTAACTTGTGGTTATCGGGTATGCTAATACGAGCCCCTTCCCACTTCAGTTGGCCCAACCATTGAAGTCTTAGTTTTTTTCTTATCAAACACAAATAATAAAAATATATCAGGGTGTTATAGGGTTAAAATATTAACAATGAATATTTTGATGATATATAGTAGATAACACCAACTTTATCACTCCCTAATCAAATTTGCAGCATAAAAATAACACATGTTGCAATTACAGCATATCAACCTATTTTCTTTTCAATGCAAAATAACTCTATAACGCATAGGTAGCTGTGAAAAATAAAAGCCATGACAATTGTTTTAATTAATCACAGCTGTCAGAATACGATTAAAATAGTTTTGGGTAGTTAAGGTTTTCAAAATGGGTAGAGGAAAGGTGGAAAAATGTGAAAAAAGTAATATCACAAATGCCGACCGAAGAGCACTAAGAAGAATAATCGTGAAAAACAGGCGTGCCAATTATTTACAATTAAGTGCTCTGTGGAGTGACGCTGTTGTAAGGAGAATTTCGAGGTCCACAACTCATAGAGAGGCCCACAAACTGGGATTTAACACTTGCAGGGTAAGTTTTCTTATAAAAAAAGTGAAGTAAAAACCCTAAAGTTGCACAACTTATTTATAGGCCAAAGAAAAGCCACTATTAACTCCACTGCAAAATAAAATCGGCTTAGATGGGCTAAAGAACATAGACAATGGACACCTCAACAATGGTGTGCAATACAATGGAGTGATGAGGCCCGATTCGAAGTTTGTGTTGGTGACAGTCGCAGTAGAATTAGTCGCAAAAAAATGAAGCATTCCATGTTGACTGTCTGAACAGAAAAGTGAAATTTTCAGCATCCATTATGGTCTGGGGCAGTATGTCATCAAAAGGATTAGGAAAACTTCATTTTATTGATGGAAATGTGGATACAAACAAATATTTGGCAATTTTAGAAGAATCGCTTTTTCCAGTGATGGAAGAATGTTTGACATCCGGCCAAGATTTTGTGTTTCAGCAAGATGGTGCAGCGTGCCATACCTCAAAAAAGGCTATAAAATGGATGGAAGAAAATAATGTACCACTTTTGAAATGGGTTTCTAGCAGTCCAGATCTGTCACCTATTGAAACTTTGTGGCACGAGATGAAAAAGGTTCTACGACAACATCCTGCTCGTGCAATCACCGAACGGAGACAAAAGCTTCAAGAAATATGGGATTGTTTTACACCAAATTTTTGCCAAAACTTGGTTAACACTATGCCCCAAAGAATTTCAGCCGTAATAAGAAATTAAGGTGATGTTACCCAATGGTAATCTTTCAATTGTTGCTTTGTTAACTTCGCGCATTTATTCGCACATTGTTTATTTGTTCAGATGTTCTATTAGTTATAGGTCTAAGTAATTACAAATATGAATTTTTTACAACTAGAGTGTATCTAAAATTGTTTTAGAAGTAAATAGTTTCGTCATGTTTAGTTTATAAAGGCATATTTTGGTACAAATCTTGAAGTGGGCCAACTGAAGTGGGAAGGTGCTCGTATATCATGGCTAACAGATTATCTGGTGTCCTAGGATACCATAATTACTTGTTATCAACGGTATTGTAATTTTTGGTGACAATAGCTGTCAAGTTTTGCCGCGAGTAAGCTCTAAAAAACTGCTGACAGGTGCTGTCATACAATTTTTCAATAAACAGAAATTTATTCAAACATACGATATTTCGTTTATCGGCCAAATAAACATGGAGGATTGTGGTGATTATATTGTCAATAATCATTAGCAAGTGATTTTTCAATGATATGAGTGGCGCTCGTTATTTATTAGCCAATCCAATATTT